CGGGGAGCCGCGGTCTCTTTACAGGGGCGCTGAGAAATATTCGGAAAGCTTCAATTTGAGAAAATATGCATTGATTTGCAAGCTCATCCATCACATTAATTATTAAATATTAATTTAATGTTTGTAAAGTAAAAAAATAACGAAGATACATGAGTTTCAATTACAGGTATGAAGACCAAGATTGTTTGGCTTTTTGGGTGGTCGTGGTCTCCTTTCGTTGATCTTGTTTTCGCAACTTGGTCATATTGGCAGGAAGACCTATAGGAACGCACCTTGTCCGGAGTGCATTGTCTGCATGATCATTTCCAAAGTTTAACCGTGGACGTGGTACATTCCCAGACGCTTCGCCGGCATCGTCAGTGAGTATCGCCATTCTTAGCAGCACACAAAAACTCGTCAAAGAGACAAGCGAAGCCGATCCTTTGACCAAACGTGTGCTAAACAATTGTGCTATCTCCCCTTCTGTCCGGGGTTATTCGCGTTTCCGGTAGCATCATATCATTCCTTCACTATTACAATTCTTACCGTGTTTATTTACATATAGTGTGGTGTGCTCCTTTGAGCAACATGACACCTTCACACTCCAACTTTCGTTCTCACCCTCCCCCGGGGGCAAGATAGAGATAAGACCTATGGAAGGAGGCCTGGTTAACAATATGGCCGACTCTGATCAACATTCTTATTGCAAGTGTGAAGGCGGTAAGAACGACAGTGTGGAATGTAAAGGGTTTTCATGAATGCCGTTCAAATGAGCATACCACCCTGCATCTCAATAAGCACGGTAAAAATTGTAACAGTTTAGGCGTGATAGGAGGATATAGGAAATGGGAATAGCCCAGGGCAGGAGAGATACCACAACTGTTTAGCACGCGTTTGGTCAAAGGATCGGCTTCACTTGTCTCCTTGACGAGTTGTTGTATGGCGCTAAGAATGGCGATACTCACTGACGATGCCGGCGAAAAGTTTGGGAATGTGCCACGTCCACGGTTCAACTTTGGAAATTATGATGAAGACAATGGACTCCTGACTACTTGCGTTCCTCTAAGTCTTCCTATCAATATGACCAAGTTGCGAGAACAAGGTCAAACAATCTCTATACCCTAGTTTTATTTATTTTTATCTCTTACTTACGAATAGTCATACTTAGGTTAGGGCGCCATAAAAAAATTTACTTGAAAAAGGGCGCCGCGACTAGGAAAAGTTTGGTAAACACTGCACTAGGGCATGTCAAATCACAGACTTGGTTTTCGGGATAGAAACAGGATAGACACGGCGGAGACTGGAGCTAGTTGGTTGACAGTAGGCCTGTTGTACCAGGGACGTGGTCCATGCAGCAAAGGCTTGACCATGGAAATCATTAAGAGGCTTTAGCCTCAAATTAGTCACCCAGACGGAGGGGAGGGGTAGTAATGCTTCGAGTAGCACAGATGGGGTAGCAGGGGTCGAGTGAAATACTTGAACCAGGGACATAGCAAGAGGGAGACTGATAAGACCTAGGGAAGGAGGACTGTGTAACAATATGGCAGACTGATCAACATTACCAGCACAAGGGTGAAGGAAAGGATCATGCATACAATGGACTCCGGAAAAGGTGCGTTCCTCTAGGTCGTCCTGCCAATATGATCAGGTTGCGTAAACAGGGTAAAACAACTTATATTCAACGAAAGGAGGCTGTGATCACACAAAAGGCCACACCATTATGGTCTTCATATTTTCTATTAATTACCCGATTCTTCGATAACCGCTAAACCTCACTTATTTAATTGTTTGCAGAAAAGTTGGGTTTCGAAGAATCTCTTTTTTGATAATTGATGTGCTCACTTCCACTTCGAATGAAAGTGTTTGCTGAAGAGATTCGCAGGTCGACTCCACCAGAAGACGACGGCGGATTTCTCTTGATCAGCTGTCGATTGGTTTTACTGTAACATTCATGCTAACGTCGTTTTCTGGTGGAATTGACCTTCTAATCTTTTCACCAAACACTATCAGCCGAAATGGAAGTGAGCACAACAATTATTTGATTGTGCCATTTTGTTTTATCATACCTATTGTGATCATCTTATTCACGTCTTTTGTTATCAATCAGGCCACTAACTCCTCGAGTTTAACCATATGCTACAGAAGGAATCTTTTACCTGTAGTCTTTGATGTAAATTATCTTAAACTCATCTGCTTTACCATTGATATCGCTTTGTCTCCTACACGTAATCTTATTTAGCCTTCTTATTCACAAATCAGACATGACCATTCGGCTGTTGGTCATAATCTATCACAGCATCTACTTAGCGTAAGCTCTAGTTTAAGACATCTTCTAGTAGTGGATCTTGGGCTTTGGACATTTGGCTTTCTACAGATCAATGCTTCGTTTGTCTATGACGAAATTCGTCGAGAAAGACGGGAATCTCCCTTAAGTTTTTATTTACAGCTCACCTAGCAAAATTAAAAACTGTTTGATACTTTTGTATAAACGTTTTGGTTATTACTTCAGTTTAAATGAGGACAAACTGAGTTTCGAAGAACCCATTATGGATTTCAGATGACTAGAATTTTGGTTACAGAGGAAGGGATTTATGAAGTGGCCCCACCGGAAGCCGAAGAAGAGTTTCCTTGGAGTGCAAACTTTGGGATTGTGCGAAGAAATCCTTGCCTCAGCATCCTGCCACTCCGATGCATTTCTGTTGAGTTTCTGTCTGTCGCGTAGCAGGCATTGCCAGAGCGAGAGAGCATGCCGTCCGAAAGAAAATAAGGTCAGCTGCAAACCCACCAACTTCTTATACCCACTTGTCTCTGACGAGTTGTTGTGTGGTGCTAAGAATGGCGATACTCACTGACGATGCCGGCGAAACGTTTGGGAATGTACCACATCCACGGTTCAACTTTGGAAATGATGATGCGGACAATGGACTCAGGACAAGGTGCGTTCCTCTAAGTCTTCCTACCAATATGAGCATGTTGCGAAAACAAGGTCAAACAACGTCTATACAACGAAAGGAGACTGCGACCACACAAAAGGCCACGCCATCTTGCTCTTCATACCTTCTTATACCCAATTTTGCAATATTAATTAGGTACCCTACAATTTGGATCGCAGATATAAACACCAAGATGGCGTGGCCTTCTGTTTGGACACAGTGCCCTTCC